TTGTTGATGATACAATTATTGTTACTTTCATCATAAAGGATTGTTGTACACTTCACATTGACAGCCCCATCACTCTACTGACAAATCACCATTATTGGTGTTGATATAAAATATTCACTTGTATATATAAGGAGAATGACTGATAAGATCTAATTGAAATCAGTATTGTTCGCTGACATGTGTTGTTCTAGACACATTTCAACATTCCGACACCGACACCGACACCGGCATCGTTATCACCAGCACTACGATGACCACAATGACTGACCAGCCTCATGGATTGCAACACTCAGACTGAAGTCAACGGAAGGTAGAAGTCATTCGATTCATTTGAGTGTATATTTGTGAAAATTAGTGTGAAGCTGTCGAAGAGGATGGAAAATGGAAGGAGAGAAAGAGAGTGGAATAATTGGATGCGTCGACACTCTGACACACACACACACACAGTGGCTGCACATATCAAGCGTCATTGTGTCTACTGAACTCTCATGGAAAGTACTGTCTGTGTGTGTGTGTGTGTGAAGTGGAAGGAGACGCTTCGGTGTGTGGTGAATCAAACTGAGCAGAATCCTGGTCCATTCACTGGTTGAACATCCCAATTCAGTCTGTTGACAAAGAGAGGAAGAAGAAGAAAATTGTGATAAAATGAAGTCGAATCGGTGTAGAGGATTCACAGACATGCACATGGGTATGGAATCAGTGGGGCTATCAGTGTAGACTGATGTGACATTTTGCAGTGGATTTCAGTTATTTTGCAGTTTGGAAGCATCACAGCCTGTTTTCCTACCTCCAAATTCGACAGTCATTCGGACACGCAATCACTCACTCACATACACAACCCTTCCTTCGCATCTTCTCTTCTCTTCGCATTCTCTCGCTGGTCATCGTATTTCCATTATTCTCTAAACTGTCAGTACACATACCAACTAATACTGGTGCCTAACGCACAAACACGAGTCAGTTCGTACATTGGTCCTCCTGTCACTCTGAAATATTCCTCACTTATTCCAACATATCTTGTGATCATCTTGATGTGAGTTTGAAGAACAAATTACATTGTTATGCTTGTCCGTTAAAAGTGATGTCGCTTCACATCACACTACGTCACTCAGACAAAGTGGAACAGTAACAAATGAGGGTAAATCGGTAGAGTACAGTGCAGTTCGGTGTGGTGCGGTGCGCTGTAGTGTGGTGTTGTGAAACTCACCTTCTCATTCGACAACGAAGTTCACTCAGGCGGTCACCGAATTCGTCTGTGCTCGTTCTCTCTTGAGACCAGAGTTGTTCAGCGATTGCAGCAGCTTGAGGCCTGTGTTGGAGAATGTATGAAAAGATATGAGATGAATTGTGAGATGTACGCATACACTATTGGTGATATATTCACCGGATTATAGGAGGTGGAGTTATGATGTATTGATGTCTCAGAGGAAATATATCTGATGTAGCGACATGCACCTTATGCGTTGAAGTGTTTTGAAGTGTACGTAAACATCTTGAACATCTTCCTGGATATCACTCGCTGTTCAAACAGATAAAAATTTCACGTAAACTTCATGGCTCTCTTTGTGGATGCAAGTCATTGCTGCATGCTCATTTGTCTTCTGAAAATGTGCAAACTCAGCCCTTAACAATTCGACATGAATGCTTTTATGCGTAAGATGATGACTGTGGGTCTTCGTGAGCCTGTGTTGTGTGAGTGAGGCGAGTATGTGATTGATTGCAGAGGCCAATATTGTTCAGTGATGTCAACAACCCCATTTTCACACTACTTCTCTCAACGAATTCGAAGACGATGTGTCTCACACCTGTAGTCATATGAGTGATGAAGCTTAAACATGATGAATCGAAAACGAGAAAACCATCATCACTTACCAGGACACCAACATGAGATTTGAGTCATCCACGTAGTCACCTGGAATCACACCTTCTCCTCCAATGACCAGTGCCTGTTCCGTTGGACTTCCTGAAATATTCGATACACACAGAAATCAATTAACAGTGTAAATCTGATGAAATGAACTCATCTGATTATCGCATGTTAGTTAGTCTTCATGACTGTTGTGTGTTCCACACTAAAAGTACAGAGTGGATATCCATATGGGAATTTCTCTCAGATGGAGAATCGTCATTCTAATTCGGCCATCAATTTTGGTTAGAACTGATGAATGAGAGTGTAGATGAGTGAGGGGTCTCTCAGTCGATTGTAATGATGTCGCGTAATTTCGTTCACGGCTAATTAGTACACACAGCTCACATAGATTACTATTATCATTATGTGAGATTCTCAATGATGCATGAATATTCATTGTTTGATATGCGTCAGTGAACTTGTCGGTTGTCTTACTGACATGTGCAATTGAGAAATGTCTATCTCTTTGTCGTGTTGTGTTGCTGTGTTATCTAATTTGGAGTAGTAGTTTGACAGTATTCTACAAGATGCACCGATCAGTGAACAGTGAACATTATAATCGACCTAGTTCTCACTCAGTTGATCTGAATGAAACTGGATGGTGAATTATACGAAATGGATGGAATGTGTAAATGTAACATCTACAATGATGACTGGATACTTGACACGTTTATGCAACTAATGACAACGATTCGACAAAGATTTCCCTGTGTGAATTGGTTAGCATTGATATCAGTGAAAACTTTTGAAATTTTGAAAATACTCGGAGTTACCTTCGAAATCCAAGGGATCACACTCGTAGAACGCTCGCCAGTCGTCTCCGAGACTCACATCACTGAAATTCCAACACGACGATATGAGAACTTTGAATCCCGCTCTTGTGATCTCCTCAACACTCTTCTTCCATTCATCAGATTTGTATACTTGAAAAATGATGTCCACAGCTAACCGACTTATTCTCAGTTGTCATTATATTGCTGATATCGGTCAGAGTGAGAGAATTATTCCTGCTCATGACATCGTTATTAACACAAATCATTAACCGAATTCATACAACTTGAATATTACATAACCCCTTATAAGTGTTGACTTATTCGATTCTTAGAAACATGCCTACCCTCCAGTGTATATATATACGTATATACCATCACACTGATTTGCATATACAATGCATCTTTCTCATATTCACCTGATCACACTGCAAACACTGAATCCATACTACATGCACTTGTATGGTGAGATTGTCATTGAGCACATTGTGAGAATCATGGGAGAAATGCATTAATTGAATAAACCAATCAATCAAACAGTGAATCAGCCAAGCGATGCAGGATGATAATAACAATATCGAGAACTCACCAGCATGTGAAATCCACATCATTTCCGCCTAAATGAACGTGGTTGTCAGCAGAGAACACATGGCGAATCTCGTGGTACAAGTTCTGAATAAAGGTGAGATTGGTTGGATTGACAGGACCGAGTATTTGATTTCCTTCGTCGTCCTGAGTATGACAAGGAGTGAGTACATCGGGATAGCCATTTCCCCATGACCGTGTATGTGCTGTGAGATGAGAGAGGGAGACAGGGAGAGATGAAGTATGGAATGTGACTGAGTATTGGGATATTGGGATATACTGTGGTGTCATCTTAAGTGGTACGTTCTGTTATGTCTACTTATGAATAATGACGAATATGTATGTGGTGTGCATAGTCAGTATATTGTTTGAGAGGCATAGCTTGATCTCACTGATGATAGGTGTGTGGTGTATATCACCTGTGAAGTGAATGTCTGTAATTCTCGCTGCATGGTGGTGACATAGACTCTGTCTGGCATCGTAATAATTTTCCTCACCTTTCCACACATATTCAAACCAGTGTTTTGCGTTGATTTCTCAGAGGAACCGATCAGTGGTGAGTAGATTCAGTGTGAATAGTAGTTACCAGGTTGGTGGTTATATTTCGGTAATCCAGGTCAGTGACATTTTATGGAGTCGTCTGAATACAAATGAAAATTTGTCAAAGTTGTTCGTACATACGAATCACCCTTCTGAATTCATTATGTGATTGGCGTGTAGTCATTTTGTATGCTCCAGTGGTGCTATCAATTATCAGTTCCATCAGACATCCAGCAGGTAGACGCAATACTCTTTTCTCAGCTGGAGGTGATTCTCAGCCAGACAGAAACAATTCAGCTTTGTTTGAGTACTACCAATTCCTACAGTCATTGATTCTATAATTCCAAATATACTACAAATGATTCCCAACAATGGAAATATTCAAAAACCTTCAAATATGCCGAATGTTCGGCTGAATTCCGATCATCCTTGTCTTCCGTTTGCATAGTTCGTTCATTGTTTTAATACGGGTCCGGAAAACTTCAAATTCTGTTAATCACTGGGGTGGGCGAAATCACCCATCACAGTAATGTCTACTTATTCACGATTGACAAATATCAGGGTGTTCACTACTCTGTGCCAACACAGAGACAATTTCAAACTAGTTGAATATCTCAATACATACAACTGTGAGAATATCATACTCACCTGGTGTATCGAACTCCGGAATTATTCGAATTCCACGAAGACGCCCATACTCCAGTAGATCAACTATCTCATTACGCTGATACACATAGGCCTCAGGATGATATGCACCCTTCAGTTGTTGTGGTGTGATTCAAGTTAGAAAGAGAATAATTCATCAGTCTTACTCACCTTGTTTGACAGTTCAGGATACATGGAGGAGACGAATGGGAATGATTCAGTGTCTGTGATATGCCAGTGTAGAAAATTCATTTTCACCATGGCCATTGCATCCTAAAATGTGCAAGTGTGAGTGTGTGAGTGTGTTAGTGTTTCACATCTCCCTGGACAAGGGAGGGAGGTGAATGATGACTTACAATGAACTTTTGGATTTCTCTGATGGTGAGGAAATGTTTCGATGTGTCTAGCATGAGTCCACGATGTGAGAATCGAGGTGAATCATCCAATGTGAATATTCGCATATTTCTCTAGTTTTGAAATAAACATTGTGTAAGAATATTCTAATGTCTTCTCTTCCTACCCCTTCCCATTCATCTTTGTATATATGTTGCAACACTGTTTCTAACCCACGTATAATTCCCCAGACTTCAGGAGCCCTGATAAACAGATTTGCAACATAGAAAATATCCTCATCCATCTTTTGTTGCTGAAATGAAATGGAATCTTTCATACCATCATATTTTATGTGTGTGTGTAATAAAGGCAATCACTTACATGATTCGTTGGCTGAATCAGATGGCCGTAGCACTTCATTACTTTCATCACAGCCTGAAGTTATTACCAGCAATATCGGAAGTATAAGACATTTATCAACTGGTGCTGTTGACGATGGAAATTCTTCATGAACAAGTCGTTCCCGGAATCGTTTAACAGCTTCTTTCAATGTTATACATGACGGATAATTATCCACAATAGGTACACACTTATAAATTGTACAATATTTCTCTTCTGGACTATAATTCTTTGCGATGGGTATCAAAGCTTGAGAATGAGGAATTATCAAGCATATAAGCGCCAACAACATGCACTCAATCATGCTGACAGTCCAAGCAGATATATAATGAGAGCTATTAACAAGTTCGCCTTAATCGCACCTTTAAGTTTAAATGTGCGCGCGTGTGTTTGTTTACCTGCGTAATCTGATTGGCCGATTCCAACAACAACACAATAGGGTAGGGAATGGCAATTTAAAAGAGTTGTGCAGTCAATATCCAGTGTTATATTTTGATGATCACGTGACTGTGAGTGTGAGACACATCGAGAATGGATGTACTCAGACATCTAATGAAGTAGAGTCACACACTTTCCGTGGTTTCGACATTACCTTATCCATTTGACTTCATGAATGCAGGCTGCAGTTCATAAGAGATTTCTTTATCTCACTTGCACTGAGAAACTTTGCAGAAATCATCAAGGAAATCTTCAAAATTGGGAAATAAATAGAGTTAACTGCAGAGTCAATGTAAGTATAGAACTTGGGCGGTGTGGTAGAATGTAATTCCCCAATATTGGATAAGTTTATTTCAAATATCACTCAGTGATGATATTGTATTATTTAACTGGATGACAAGGTTTCGAGCAGAAATCATCGTCAGTCATAATCGTAACAGTTTAGTCATACGGTTTCATAGTTTGTCTTATATATTTTCCCTAATCCTCCACCTCTCTCTCCAAATTCACCTTGTTGTTTGTTGCCACTTTCCATACCTCTGGCATAGCCTCTTCGCCATTCCCATTGCAAGTGTTCGGTGTTGAATCGATAGACAAAAACCCACTCAGTGCATTGCAATGGCTGAGCTCTGTTTTTTCTAAGTTATTTAACTTAGCAGGGTCAATCATTCTAGGTCTAGGTAAATCTTTTGGGTTCCGATAATCGAAATGACCTAGATCTACCAGTTTGGCTGATCTATGTAACTTACCGCACTAACAGTCATTACATGGTATTTCGTAAGTTATATTATTCTTCCTAATTGGATCTATTGGATCCTTAAGCCGACAACGTTTATCTCTGAGAGAGTTGATTGGTTGATTCGTTGGTTCAAGTGCCAACCTAATTCCAGCTTCATTCAGAATCTTACGTAAGACCTGTAACGTTCCTTCTTCATACGGCTGTACTACAGAAGCTTTGAATTCTATGTGATTTTTGTCATTTCCGTTGCTAATCTTATTCTTTTTCTATGGTCTTTTATATATTTCTGAATAAATTCTGGTGGGTTGTGTGTTATTCACTGGTAATATTCTCTTGATTAGTTTGATTTCATCATTTAAGTCTTCTGGCCTACTAACTAGGCTCCTGGCCCAGTTACACAGACATTTAACTAAATCTATCTTCCTTTACCGATTCTGGATGGGGTGAATTAAAGTCTAGTCTGAGTATTTGTTAGAGTGTATCGGTTTCCTATAAAAGCCTTTTATCTAACCCACCATCTTGTTTTCGTTTTATTCTACAGTCTAGTATGGCCAACTCACTCTCTGTTTCACTTTCTAACTCAGAAGTGAATTGGATTCCGACTACTACTGTGCGAAAAGCCGAGGGACATGTTCAGATTTCAACACAATAGTGAATGTATCATCCACATATCTTCACCATAACCTACTTGGAGCAGGATTAAACCTTCTAAGAGCCTTATATTTCCAACTATCCATAAATATGTGTCTTCCACTATCGGGGATATTGATGATCACATTGCCAACCCATTCGTTTCTTCACATAGTTTAATTTGAAATTGGAATACAGTGAAGGTTAGACATAACTGAACACTTAATATTATTATTTCATCATCCAAGAGCTTAGTTCTACTTTTGAGCTCAGAATCAATATTCATGACATCCTTGACTGCCTCCAGAACTGTATTCATTGAAATATTAGTATGCAAACTGGTTATGTCAAAGCTAATCATTTTTCATATTTTTTCTAATTGAATTTCCCCTGGTTTCTGTTTCATTACACAGGGATTAATTAGTTAGCCTAGAATTTGACCTGTCTATAGAGTCACTAGATTCCAACTACAGTTATGGAAATTCAAGTGATGGTTTGTGGGGATTTGATTGATTGATTGATTACAGGATCTCATCGTGAGCTGACATTGGTTAGAGAACCATTGGAAAACCAGCAGGGAGTACTGGACAGCTTTTTCTTTATCCTAGTTTGGGACCCTTCATCAGTACGCAGCCACTACAGGAGGTTCGAACCCATGACCTTCTGGTTACAAGGCTAACGAGCTCGTAGACAATTTAGCCACTTGGATCTGATCCAATGGCCCCTGAATTCTAACTTCTACCAATTAACGACATAGCGCAACCACTAGTCAATGTCTCTGGAGAGTATTTGTCATCACAACCCACCTGCTTCACACTACTGGTCACGACTTCCCACTTGAACCCGACGTAACTAACTACCTGAATAGGGCCAGCTGTCAATGAGCATCTCATCGATATTCAAGTGTTGGTTCGGGAGGAACAGTTATGGAAATTTACCGTTTGAACCTACAGAAAGACAAAACAGGTGATTCAGCGAAGACGCAATCTACATACCTTTTATACACTGGCAAACCTTGGCCTGCTGACTTCACATAATCATTATTTATGATGTTGATTATGGTCTGAAATAATTAATATATTAAGTGTGTTTAATGAGCTCACCTATGGGGCCATTGCTTGCAGATTTCTTCATGTCAAAGCTGGTAAACACATAATTAAGGAAAATGATAGACAGCTTTGGGTTTTATAAGAGATACGTGAACGATAATTTCAGTATCTCCAATAATGAGGAGAATTTGGCGGAAATCCTGAACTTCTTCGACAGCAACTATCCTGCAATTCAGTCTATATAACAGAAAGAATCCGACAGATAAATATACTTTCTGGAGGTTCAATTAACAAGACGCTAACCAGATGGAACACTGAAAGCATCCATCTACAGAAAGCCGAGATGGAACAGACAAGTCATTCACTAACTTTTATAGCTGGGTGCCTCTATATACAAAACGAGACCTGTTCACTGAGCCACATGATTCACAATATTTGCAGCCCCGATACTATAGAAGAAGAGTTAAACACTCTGAAGGGAATCTTCTTAGGAAACAGCTACCCAGAACATTTCATCACAAAACCTATGAAACCTAAACCACCAAAACAGCGCACACTCACTGCTCCCAAAAATCTTCTTTACCTAATCCTGTGATTCAATGGAGATTCATCAGAATAAATTCAGAGAAACCGCCTGTCCGCCTCACTGAAAAAACCCTCCTCGAGTCTGGACTCCAACTAATCTTCTCTACGAAACCAATGATGCGCATGAACGTGAAGTATAAGCTACCACTGTTGGCCTCATCAATGTGTATCCACCAATTCACTTGCTGGTGTGGAGCTAAGTTGGTTGACCGTACGCAGCGTTCGCTATCCAAACGTATCATCGAACACTTAGCCACAGTCATGGTTTTAAAAGGAGAAAAGAGATCCCCGCACTACCGTCCTATCCTGCAACACCTGGTCGAATCGGATCACCAAGCTAACCCACAAAGCACCTTCAGGGTCAACTACAGAATACGTGGAAATCTCGCTAAAAGAGTACGAATCAAACTTCTTCAAACCGTAGAAGCAATGGTGATTCACATGTTAAATCTTGCACTCTGAATACAAAAGAAGTCTTGTTGAATCACCAAATCTACACTGGACCTAATCTGCCTTAACACTGGATACTTAATTTTTGTGTTTTGTTCCTTAATTGTGGCATTTTCTTCCCTCACTCCCTGTTAAACTTCAGCCCCTTGTTGTCGCCGTTATTAACTCAACTCTCGTTCAATTTTAGTTTCATTCTGCTCAGTTGAACTTTTGTTAAATAATATTGTCTTACACTACTTGTTTTGTATTTAGAAACCTGCATTCCCTGTATATCCAGTTGCCTTACAACACTGTTGAGGTAAATTTCAGTTTTGATGTTATTATCATTGTTGTTTAGTAGAACTACTAAAATATTGAAGAACAATCTTCCTTCCCCTGCGTTTGGATGTCTCGCGATAACGCAGGATTGCAGTCTTTACAATAGAAGGTAGAGAGAGATTGGTTCTTTGCATTCACACCCTAACCGAATGGATTTGGTCACTACAGTTTTGTGTATCCTAATTAATCAGGAGGAATTCTTCATCTGAATTCCACAATCGAATGATTAAAGAGATAAATATGCTAAAGTGGAATGTTTCTATCTTCTTCATCAGGCCGCATCATATCATCAAAATGAACCAATGCTCTATTCCAAAGTTATAAGTCAAAATGTAAAAAACAGAATTTGACCACTGTTACAGAGTATAATTCAATTATAGAATGTCCAATTCCAATTAGACGCGCGTCTATTCCGTCAAGTTGGTGGTGTCGCAATGGGAAGCCTCTTGGAACCACTATTTGCAGACTTATTCTTGTCAGGCCTAGAAGCCGGTACCTTGAATCAACATATACAAGAAACGGATGTATACGCAAGATATGTTGATGACATTTTCATTGTCTGTGGAAGCAGATCAAAAGCTGAAGACATGTTGATAAAATTCAACTCATGCCATCCTAATCTCATTTTCAAAATAGAACACGAGGAAAACGATACTATTAAATTCCTAGACGTTTTTCTAGCGAAAATGACTGATGGTACAATCGAAAGATCTATATTTAGAAAGTTTTCATGGACAGGACAGGACATGCATTTCAAGAGCTTTGTTGCAATCCAGTATAAAAAGAACTTAGTCAAAACACTGTTCAATAGAGCACGGAAAATTTGTTCTGACAGTACTATTGAGCATAGAATAAAAGCTCTGAATAATATTTTAACTAAGAATGGATATCCTGAGAATTTCATCAATAAATACTCTAAAGAAATTATCCCCTGCAAAACTATCCAAAACGGTTCCGGAGAAATCTGTCTATATCAGTTTGCCATTCAAAGGGGATAATGTACAGGAAGTAGTCAAACGAAGACTCAACAAAGCTATCAAGAGAACTTATTATGCTGCAAAACTCGTCTTCCTTAACAGCACTAAGCGAGTGCTTCAACAATCTGGGAAAGACC